ATGTGGTGGCCGACTTCAGTAGGGTCCTGAGTAGACCAGAGAGGAACTACTGTGTAACACGGAAGGAACTCCTTGTTATAGTAAAGAGTCTGACATATTTCCATCCTTACCTCTATGGTGCAAGGTTTACCATCAGGACAGACCATGCGGCATTACGCTGGTTAAGACCATTAAAGAACCCTGAGGGACAACTTGCACGTTGGATCGGAAAGATAGACTAGTATAATTATGATATTGAATTCAGAGAAGGAAAATCTCATGGAAATGCCGACGGACTGAGCCGAAGACCCTGCAAAAATGTCTGAAGACATTGCTCCAAAAGAGAGGTTGAGCTAACCAGGTGTCATCTAGTCAAAGTGACTGAAGGAGTTGATGATGGTGAAGTGGAACCAGGTATAGATATTAAAGCAGAACAGGAGAAAGACCAAGATTTGAAGCCAATAATTGATTTACTACAAGAAAGTGTTTTGTGCCCTACTTGGGAGAAGGTGTCTAGCTTTAGCCCTATGACAAAGAACTTTTGAGCACAATGAGACCAGTTGAAGCTCGAAGATGGTATTCTCTCCGGAGATGGGAAACTGCAGATGGGAGAGTGACGACCTGGCAAACAGTTATACCGAGAAAGTTACGGGAAGCTGTGCTGCGTCAATCCCATGATAGTTTAACAGGTGGACATCATGAAGTTAAGAAGACATTGTGTCACCTTCGACAGAGATTTTACTGGATAGGTATGAGGCAAGATGTGGAACAATGGTGCAGGACCTGCAGTATATGTTTTGCTAAAAGGAGACCAAAGCATAAGGGACGTGCCCCAATAAAGTTATATCAAGCTGATCCACCAACGGAACGAGTAGCCATTGACATTGCTGGTCCTCTGCCCCAAACTCGTGCTGGAAACAGGTACGTTTGTGTGGTGATAGATTATTTCACGAAGTGGCCTGAGGTATATGCAATACCAAATCAGGAAGCTACAACTGTAGCTTCGGTTATTAGTGATTTCTTCTTCAGGTTTGGTATGCCAT